TTGCAGGGTATACCCTTTGGTTGGTTGATGATGCATGGAGGGGATGGTAACCACGGCAATGAGACAATATATGATAGAATGAATGTAAAACTAATGTTCTCCCAGGTAAACTATCATATAATTCACAATAAAACATTTAAGAAAAAAAAAAGTCATTGTACAAATACATTAATTTCTTTTAACAGAGAAGCAAATATATTTTTAAATACTTAACTAGTTGTTAGTATATAATTAATTTTCAGAGGAAGCTAACATATAAGTAAAACACTGAATGAAGACATACCTGCTATTTATATTAATTTCTTGCTCGTGAATGCTTTTTTTATTAGGCGTTCCATTGGTAGCCCTTGAAACAGGTCGAGATTTTACTGGTATAAATTAAGAAAAAGTGAGTCACAAGATAGACCATATTAAGTATATAACAATTATATGTAAATTCAGGGTTCAGATACTATAAACAAAATTAAATGTTAAAGTAGGAAGAATTATGCTTTTTCTTGGGTTGCATAAATGTATGTAAATAAATATTATGGTATTTGAAACAAATTCTACACAGAGGTTCATTTTTTCTAGGAACTTTGGCTGCCAGGAGCTATTCAAACTTAGAGTGCTAAGACCTACCTGCAGTGGAAGTTTCGGTACTTTCCACAATGGTGTTCTCTGTATGACCTTGAGAATCAAGAAAAGACATCTTATGATCTGATGGCTTCTCTTCTCCTATCAATCCATTTTCTTTTGGTTTACTCAGACATTCAGTGGAAATCAATAATTCCATACTTGAACTGGTAGATTTGCTGGAGGGTCCTGTGATGCTGAGCCCTGCTACTTTCTTCAAAGGCTTTGCTTTGGCATTCGTATTTAAACTTCCAGACAGTACCTTGGGTCTGGCACCGGTAGCTTGTCCATCCTGAGTTTTCATTCCTTTTCCATTTAATGAATTCTTCTGTCCACATGCTGCTGCTGATCTTTCCACAACTTGTCTAGAAGACATGCTTTCTGGCTTCGCATTATTACCGTTTTCTGTTTTGGACTTAATTATAGCTCTGGGCTTCCCAGAAACACTTTTTTCCCCACTTTTAAAATCTTTTGTAATTGTAGATGCTATTTTTGTACCATTCTTTTCCTTTAAATCGTCATGCTTCAAAGTTTTATTTACAGAATTTCTATTAACACTCGATGAATGTCCAGAAGCTCCTAATCCATCAGATTTCATTTTTTGATTAGTAGAGGGAAAACTCCAACACTCTTTCTTGTTATTTCCCCTCCAAGATTTGTTTTTAATTACACCAGAGTCAGAAACTTGTCTCCTTTGCTACAAAATACGGAAAAGAAAAAAGAAAACAAAACAATTTCTTAATTTGATTAAACTGTTACCATTCTTAGGACTTTGACATATACAAAATTGGGCTATTTAAAGAAAAACAAAACAAATTTTATGTTATAATTTAGAGTCACTTAAAACTTCGCTTAGCTCTTTGAAGGGCATTTCAGTTTGTTTCATGTTAATCAAATCTGAAATACAGCATAAAATGTTTATGTAAGGAACACATGATGATTTTAATTCATAAAGTTATAATACAGATCAATACTTAAATGGGGTAAGGATGTCCTTGGTGAATGATAATAATATCCAGTATTCCTGGAAGGCTCACTCCTAGGTTATGAGTTCAATCCTTACCATCAGTTTTATGAGACAGCTCCTGTTGCTATCCCCATTTCTTAGACAGAAACTGAGGATTAAAGCAGGAATGTGACTTGCATCAGGTCTGATACTGGTAAGGGATGAAGAAGGACTTGAGTCCATGATTTATTGCCTTAAGCAGTAGTCATCTATATTACATAATTTGATGGATATTATGATTTTCAACATTCTCTCTTCTACCCCAAATGCCAGAGTTTTAGTATTAAAAAGATTTAATCCTCTGTGGTAGAACTGTTTATTTCTTGGAGTCCTCATTAAAAACAAGATCCTGGGGAAACACAACACATGATCTCTGTAAAGTAGCACAGCACTAATTGTCTGAAGGATGTAGAGGGAAAAAAAGGGGGGAAGGGAATAGAAGAGCACTGAAGATAAATACAACTGCTTGGTCATTTTGCTTAGAAACAATCTTGATGCACAGAAGGGGACAACACAATTTTAAAATGTTGGTAGAGATTTTAGAACACATTTTTTGAGATTGATACTAAGACATTCTTTATACTCCCCCCCACCTCTTTGGAAGTTTTATGAGATGATAGAGGTGTGAAGCAGAGCCTGGCTGTTTTCATCTATGCAACATTTATAAAATTCAAATAGGCTTGGTCCTCAACTTGATCAAATCATAGTTAAAAAAAAACACACCCAACTTTATATTTAATACTTAAAATCAGGTACACTTCTGCTTTTGGATTGCTCTCTCAACATTAAAGTATCTTCTTTTAATCGATCCATGGTTGAGATCTATATAGTATATATGGGAACTAAAGTCCTTTGTAAATTTCATATTAACATACTACAGCATGAAAAGGATTCAAAGTACAGTATAAGCAGACCTGACTTAATATCCGGAAAGTTTACATACATTTCTTATATGCAAATGGCCTACTGGGCAAGTAGTCCAAAGAGGGTTACCTCTAAAGAATAGCTCTTTAACACTTTCCTAACTTTAGTAAGATTCCTTTCTTAAAACCCTTTTTATCTTAGAAAAATGTAAACACAATCAAAAGAACACAGGAGGGTGTAATAAATCTCCTCCATGTACACATTATCCAACCTTAACAATTTTCAACTTATAGGCAATTGTGCTACATATATACCCACATCTCCATTTTATTTTTAAACAAATTGCAAATATCAGATAACTTTGTCCTTTGGTATTTCAGTACCAGCAAGGATCTTAAACTGTCCCCTCTGCCTTATCACACTGATTTTCTCCTATCTCCCAAAGACCTCATTTCTCTTTGGAAAACACATTTATTCATTTCACATTTACTGAGACATACTCAGACCAGATAACTGCATATAAGTGATTATACTAAATTATCACAATAATCCTATTTGGTTTTATTACTCAATTTTACAGATACCAGACTAACACTTAATTGTCTTGTCCAGGATGACATAGACACCAAATGTGGAGCCATGATTTGAACCCAGTTCTTCTGATGCTAAGGAGTCCTGGTGTCACTGTGGATTAGGCACTGGGTTGCTAACTTCAGGTTGGCAATTTAAATTCACCAGCTGCTCTGTGGGAGAAAGATGAAGCTATCTGCTCCCACAAAGATTTATAGTCTTGGAATCCTTATACAGGGTCTTCTCTAAGAGTTGGAATCAACGCAATGGCGGTGGTTTGAGCTTCTGATGCTATGTCCAGCCCCCATTTCATTTTACTACTGCCTTTATGAGGAAAACTTATTACTGTTACTCTGTTTCCTTTCCATTTTTGCTAATAATAAAAGACTCCTGGATAACTTCAAAGTCAAGAAGATAAGGAAAGCTCAATGGGACTGGATCCTTCATAATTTTCTATAAGCCACAAAAGTTGGTAACAGTTAGTAGAACTAACAGTAGGCCAACAGCTGGAGATGGTTTAAAAGAAGAAGAAAGAAATGCCCTACATATTTCCTAGCGTACATTCTGTGGAACTGTATAATAAAAGGGGTGTGGTAAGAGAGGAGTGATGTTTCATGGTTATAAAATTCAGGGAAATTCTGGGTAAGAGAGAATTAATAGTTTTGCATTATACTGCTTTTTAGAGATTTTACAGTACTAAAGTATATTATTAGTCTAAGAGAAGCTATGATATGTAGTAATTCTCAAAATTAGTTTGCCCTAAATGTTAAGAGTCCTGACATAGTGCTATAGGATAAAACGCAGGACTGCAAGGTTAAGGTCGGCAGTTCAAACTCACCAGTTGCTCCTTAGAAACCCTATACAGGGTTGCTATGACTCCAAGTGACTCGATAGCACTTAACAAATGTTCTTAGGTGTAACATATGACAACAGGTACATACTATGGAACAAGTATATAATTTTGAAAACAATCTTAGGAGGTTTAAGGAAAAAAACCAGTATTCCACATCTTCTCACTCTATACAACTGGAACTTGACCTCTGTGTCAAGCCATATATACTCTCAGTTTAGGCTTGAAGCTATTTTGTTGTTAAATGCTTTAGAGTCAGTTCGGACCCATACCAACTCTGTACAGGGTTTCCAAGCTGGTGAGCTTGAACCACTGACCTTGCGATTCAAACAACTTTGCAATTCAGTGCATTAACCCACAGTGTCACACCAGGACTCCTTGGAACTATGAGGTTCCTATTTAATGGCTTGTTGTTGTTAAGTGCTGTTGAGTTGGCTCTGACTCATAGTGACCCTGTATAGTGTTTCCAAGGAGCAGCTGCTTGGTTTGAACTGATGACTTTGTAGTTAGAAGTCCAGTGCTTATCTTACAGGCCCACACCAGATGCTGATGAAGAAAAGAGGATTCCTTATTTCAGCTTTGCTTTCCAAATTGGGACTCTTAATCTATATCTTCATTTTATCATTATAATGCATGGACTAAACCAAAACCAAACCCACTACTGTCAAGTTGACTCTGATTCATAGTGACCTCTAGAGTAGAACTGCCTCAGAGGGTTTCCAAAGCTGTAAATCTTTATGGAAGCAGACCGCCACATCTTTCTCCTGCATAGTGGCAGTGCGTTCAAACTGTGGACTTTCTGGTTAGCAGCTGTGTGCTTAACCACTGTGCTACCAGGGCTCCTCGACACATAGGCTAGGTTAGCATAATTTTGGGTTAAAATATATTATTAAATAACCATTTATAAGTTACCTATCATTAAAAATCTTTTTATGAACTAAACTGATTTATAACAAACTTTTACTCAATTTACAACAAAAAGTTAACAGGGAGAAGAAGAACTCTAAATAAACGAAGGAAGAAAATGGAAAAAAATTTATAGGATGAAAATGGATTTCAGGTTATAACAAACATTTAAAGTAACAATTGTACTCTTGGTACCAACTGCCTTTTCCAGACTGAAAACATATTATGTGAATTAAAACTGAAGTATAGAAAAATTGGAACTAAAACCTTTTGCAAAAAGTAGGTTAATTCGAAAAATAGATATTGAATTAGGTCTAGAATTTTAGACAATTTTGATCTAAGGGAATAGCCCCAATATCTTAACTGCCAAAAGAGTTTTCAAGGAAATGAAAAACACAGAAAAAAATTCACTTCCTATGCCAGCTAGATAAAAAAGTCATATCATTTAAAATTTTATGAAATGTTCACTTGATTTTTTAAAAAGCTAAAATCATTTCCATTAAGAAACAGCTTTAATTGTGGCATTATAGGAGAAGTACTGGAGTCCTGGTGTGGCACTTTGGGTTAATGCACTGAACTGTAAGGTTGGTTTGAACTGCAATGTCAGTGGTTCAAACTCACCAGCTACTCCTTGGAAACCCTAATAGGCTTTCACGATGAATTGCAACCGACTTGGCAGTACTTAAAAGCAACAACAACAATATAAGTACTAGACTGCTAACCCGCAAGGTTGGTAGTTCAAACCCACCAGCTGCTCCTTGGAAACCCTGTACAGGATTGCTATGAGTTAGAACCAAGTCGATGGCACTTTATAACAACAACAATGAAATAAATAATGAATTGTTTAAAGGTTATCCTGAAATAAAAAATAATAAAATACAAATTATTTGATACCTTTTGAAAGTTTACCTGAGAGCTACTGAATATAGGCTTTTTGCCTAGTCTTCGATCATCACCTTTGTCAAATGCAGCTGTAGAAAGAAACAGTAATTTACTTTTATAGGCAGCATTATTATAATTACCATAGAAATAGAAGGAAGGTAGTATGCTAGCAAAAAAAAAAAGATTGTAAGAAAATAACCTGAAATCAATTAATTACACATAAATAATTTTCTAATATATTTTTTGAAAAAAATTTTTAAATAGCCTTTCTAATCTAACTATCTGGCCCCTATGGATTTTATATTATTGAAATGAACAAGTAAGATATGCATTATCTCACAGTAAGATTCACACATTTACCAAAAATAGAATTTTCTCAACTTGCAAAATTCTAGGGATAAATGGTGTCATTAACTTCGTTTGCCAAATCTGAAAAATTCAGACTGTGGCAAATGTAATATTTTACAAACTATTAAATAAAGGCACATTATTTATCTCAAAAACCATAAAAATACTGTCAAAATTAGCTACAAACATTTTAAGGTTTTGGATATCTGAGGAAGAAAGAAAAACGAAGGGTTTATTGAAAATAAAATAAGTAACAATCCTCAAAGCCACATAATTTTCTTAGAATTATTATGAGAAATTTTGGGGAACTCAAACTTATGCTCTTCAAATAGGATTTTAAATGATGCTAGAAAAATATGTGTGAATAATGGTATGAGAACTACAAATATAGTTTAGCTTATATATGTAACCTTTTGAAGGTTAGGGTACTTTATATTTTGAAGAAATGCATATAATTTCTAAAATTTATGTGATTTTTATTAAAACATCTGATAAAAATAAAATAAATTCTTTGTAAATGTACCATGCATCTTCCAAAATCTCTATCCTATTGGATCTATGATAAGAAAAAGCAGGATCGTGGAAATGACATTGTAAGGACAGATTCATAAAAAGCAAATGACTGTGAACAATAATGTACAAGAAGAAATTAGTGTCAAAAGGTCAGCAGCTCAACAAGAATATAAGAAATGTTATAACAAAGACAATCTAGAATAATTTCTTTATCTGATGTTTCCCAATGTAGTAATTACATACGTCAGGACTCATCATCATTCAGCTCTTTCAGTTGAAAACAAAAATTATTACATTGATATAATGTATAGGGTGGAAAGTTCTTTTGACAATAAACTGGACTACCAATAGCATTTTGTTTTAGATATGTGTGTGTATGTGTATGTAATTTACACACATCCCCCATTAAAACTTTGAAGAGTTAAAATAAAATAATATTGAAATCCTTAACTATGAAATTTTTGAAAATAGAGAAAAACAAAGTTTGCTACTAATCAGAAGAGAGTGTTGATCGATACCTACTCTAGGAATTCCAATCTGACCTTGCTCTTTCACACTATAGATTTTGTAATAAACTGTCATTTAAAGATCAGCACAGAAATAGTCACAAGGAAAAATTTTCCAATTCTAAAGAGCCCCTTCACAAGATAATTGTTGCTTTAAATAATGGAATTGCTTTGAAAAGTATGCTTCAGATCATATCTAGGTACACTATTAGGCTAGACTCATAATGCAAGACGGAGCAGATGATATTCTGACTATAGTACAAAGAATTTAACTTATATATATACTATCAATAATATATCACATATGGCTTATATATTTTATAGTACAATAATATTTACTTCATAAAATATAGTTTCTTAACTTAAAATATTTTTGTAAAGTATACTTGCTGAATCTGCCAATATTTTCCTCATGCACCTGCTTTAACACAAAAATCGTCATGAAGCCATTTCAGTTCTCTACCCTCAGAATTATATTTTAATATTTTTTAAGCAAAAACACTGACTGTTGCGCTACATAACATCTTTTGTTTAATGCGAATGTTGGGAATAGCACCTATGAAATGTCAGAGACCACTGTGCGGCTCCTGAGGACACTCTGCAATAGCATACACAGTATCACTGAACTGATCAATTGGGAAATAAAGCAATTTACCTTAAGCAAGAATCACAAGAAATAGAGTCTCATGTCAAATATGGAAAAGCTTTATGGAAAAATATATTTCTGACAGAGGGAAAAAGTATGTTTGGTAATCTGTTCTATGTGGATTACATTCTTCTATACTTCACATCTCTTTACAAGAATGCTTTTAAGCAAATCAGGCTAGAACATTTTTGCTAATATAGAGTAGGATTAAAAATTGAAATGTACACATAAAAAGGAAACAAGTTTTATTTACTAAAAGCAGCAAAAAAAAAAAAAAAAAAAGATTTATTAAAGCTGCCTAAATATACTATCACTAGATTCAATTAGCAACCTATCACCGAGCAGAAACATTATAAACATTAATCCTACCATTGATTAGAATGTCCTAGAAATATCTGCTGTCACAAAGATCATAATAAAAAGAATAGGAAAATCTCAAAGCCAACATACCTGCTTGGATTTTCTGTTGATCATCTGTGCTCATCAGCTTCCAGCTTTCTGTGTGACGAACAGCATAGAAAGACTGTACCAGGAAGATCCACAGCTTATCACGCAGAGCCTGGATCTTGCACGTAAAACCCTGTGTTCAGGCAACAAATCAGCAGCTGGTGAGAGCCACATTGTCATAGCAACCAGTCATTATTCCTTTCCGAATCTACTTACTCCTAAGCTAGATCAATGATGTCATCACTTAGATTTTAAGACCATCGGGTACGTTATTTATCAATGCTTATGCTTTAATAACAGAATTTTACAGTGAAACATGAAGCTAAATCTTATCCTGTCAACCAAATGTTATTTTAAATCACCAATGCCCTTCATATGAATACCTTCCACAGCCTTTTACAAATCAACTATGACATTACAAGGTCAAATACTCTATGAAATAGTAATAAATTTGATGGAATATTCTAATCATTCTTGTTGAACAAACGCAAAATGCCAATAATTTGCAATCATCTTATTAATTACGTTTGATTAACTGTATATAAAAATAAGTAATATTTTAATTTTACTTTGTCCCAGTCAATACAATTTAAAAATATGAATTATTTCCGAAGATAAAAAGGAATTAAGAATATATTATAAAATAAAATATGTTAATGATTCAAAATTTAAATAAAAGTCTTACACTCAGAACATTTAATATGGCGACAGGGTAGAAATACTAGAGTTATGCTGGGCCAAAAACTATTGCTAAGTAGCAAAATATACTTAGAATTAAGTAATTGAACTTCCAAACTCTAAACTTTCATACATTTGGAGGCAAATGGAATTTTAAAATGTTTGTATTATAAAAAATTTCAAACATACAGAAGAGTTTAACAACCCTCATGGATCTATCACCTAACTTTGATGATTCTGAGCATTTTTGTGCATATATTTGAAAATCTTAAAATAGATGATTTCTGTGTATTTTATTAGACTCAGTACCATTTCCTTTGTACTTTCAGAGTTCAGTAAAGTGTCCAGAGCCATGAGAAGAGAGCAACTATTTTCAGTAGTAATATTTTCTTCAATTGCTTTAAAAATTTTGTCCAATAGATCCGCTGTGCTGCTCATAGCTTGTGACTACAAAACACAGAAAATTGAAATTTAACAAAAATATGCATATAAAACATGTAAGAAATGTGAAAGTTTGACATAACAGAAAACCAATGAGCATAACTGGCTATACGCAGTCAACAAAAATTGCATTTGCTTCTACCTTTCTTTTGCTAAAAATACACTCAGTTATTAGGAGCCCAAACAGCTCCAATAACAAAACATAGAAACAAGTTAACTGTTGTTGTTTAGCGCTGAGTCAGTTCTGAGGAGCAGCTGGTGAGCTTGAATCATGGATCTTGCAGTTCAAACCAACTTTGCAGTCCAGCGCACTAACCCACAGCACCACACCAGGACTCCAGAAACAAGTAACAGAGGTTCTATATTCAATGACTAATGTTAGAGAAAGTGGGCCTCCAGTAGGACAAGGAATTTTGCATGAACCATAACTGAACAAAACAGTGTAATTATGACTTTGGTTTCCAAAAATGTATCTTCTACTGATCAGGGGTAGAATTGGCCAGAGTTATCCTGTGCCTTGCCAGGGCACTCACACCTGTCCCTCCCTGCTTCCTTATCTTGCGAGCCAAAAATCCTGTCCATCACTTCTCTAAGCCTTATGTAAAACATGCCATCTGCTAAGGAATTTTTTAAAAATCATACTAATTCAATAGAAGGCAACCTGCACTTAAAAACTGACATAATTTAAATCAGAACACAAAGAAAGAACTAAATATAGAATATAATTGTAGAATTCATACCTGTAATAGAAGAGTAAAATTTTCACTCTGAATGATCTTGGAGAAGTTTACTACCATAAATGCAATGCATTCTTCTTGGAGCTGAGATGCCATCGCTAGTGCTGCCTCTGTCCACTTCACTCTGGGTAGACTGATGATGAGTCTGTCACTTTCCATCAGAAGAAAAGCAGCATTCTTATCATTCTTAAAATTATAAAAATATTGGAAAAAAGATAGTACTGTTGTTGTTAAGTGCCACTGAGTCAGTTCCAACACATAGCCACCCTCTAGAGGATTTCCTGGTGTGGCGCTGTGGGCTAATGCGTCAGAATGCAGTGGTCGGAACTGTACAGTCGGTGGTTCAAGCTCACCAGCTGCTACTTGGAAACCCTATACAGGGTCGCTATGGGTCGGAATCAATTCAACGGCACTTAACAACAACAACATAGGGTTTCCAAGGACCATTTGGTGGGTCTGTACTGCTAATCTTGTGGTTTACAGTCCAGTGCTGATCCTACAGTGCCACACGTATTACTGCTCAAAAAGTAACTTTCTAGGCAAATCAAATACTTTCGTTTCCTTGTGATATCATCTGAAAAAAGGTGATACCTTTTCATTAATTTTACATATAATATTTATGTATCCACTAAGAATTATCCAAAAGGGTAATCTTTGAGTTCAGTGGACCAGTTATAGTGAGATTTTTCACGACTCAACTAATTTTTATGGTTAGAGACATTATTCATGACTGCTGGGCTACAAGGATGTACCCTTACTTCATTTCTGACTAAAAAAACCACATGTTCTTCATTGTAAATTTAGAAAGGCTAAAAATTAGTTATAATCCCCAGAGACTTTCTTCCTCTTCTCTAATTAGGTAAGGGTATATTTTTTATATCTTAGTCATTTAATGATGATTCCTTTTTGTACCACAGGAAAAACATATTCACAAATACTGATCTCCACGGAAAATGGAATGACAAATGAACAAATGCCATCTGCTCTAAGAAAAATGAAAAAATAATAGCTTATAAATATATATACATATATATAATCTCCTATTCATGTTTGTATTTCTAGTTTTCAATGCTAAAAGTTATTTATTGAATTCTGGTATGTTTTAGTAGACTGAAAATCATGTTCACAAATTCTTTGCAGTTCCATCTATCAAGAAGTGGAGTCTATTTTCATCAATCCTTGAATGTGAACTGACATTGCTACTTGTTTTAAACAACAGAATGTGGTAAAACTGATTCTGTACAAGTTTTGGAACTTAGGCCTACAGAAATCTTGATACATCCAGGTCATGGAGATGCCTAGAAGAAAGACCAGTAGAGAAGGAGGTCCAGTCTCCAGCTTGCTGTTGTAGTTGTCAGGTGCCATCGAGTTGGTACTGACTCACA